TGGCTTACATCATTCTCCTCTCCTCCATTTTATCCTCACAACAACTGTGTAAGGTAGGTTAGTCTAATAGGGCGTGACTGGCCCAAGGTCACCCTGCCAGCTTCCAGGGCAGAGTCTCCCAGATCCCTAGTCTGACACACAAACCCCTCCCCCCCACTCAGACCCTCTCAGCCCGGCTATTCTCCGCCCTGCTGTTCAGGCACACCTCTCCTGCTCCAGCGATGCGGAGACCTCCCCAGCTCAGCTCCCCTGTCCCTCCTCTGTCCCGCAGGCCTGCAGTGCCCTTGGACTGGAAGTCCCACGCCCCGGAGAGCTGCGCCCCCAGCCCAGCCACACAGCAGTCCCTGCATCTCTGCTGCAACTCCAAGCATGCTCTGCAAGCGCCACTCCTGCAAGCCCACCAGAAACCGGCCTGTCCTCCTCTGCCTCACTCACACATTCAACCCCAGCCCAGCCGTGGCCCCCAGACATTTATTTATTTATTTATTATTTCAACTTGTATCCCGCCTTGCCGGACAAGCTGGCTCAAGGTGGCTTAAAGTAAAGGTAAAGGTTTCCCTTGCTCGAAAGCCAGTCAAATCTGACTCTAGGGTTGCGGTGCTCATCTCCGTTTCAAAGCCAAAGAGCCAGCGCTGTCCGAAGACGTTTCCGTGGTCATGTGGCCGGCATGACTAAACACCAAGGCGCGCGGAACGCTGCTACCTTCCCACCGAAGTGGTCCCTATTGATCTACTTGCAATTTCTTGCTTTCAAACTGCTAGGTTGGCAGGAGCTGGAGCTAGAGACGGGAGCTCACTCCGTCATGCGGCACACTCGGGTCTCGAACTGCTGAACTACTGACCTCCCAGGTATTAAAATACAATAAAAGCATAAATACAATAAAATTCATATAAACTACATAAAACACTAACACAGAGAATACAGTAGACGGCGGCATTCATTAAACAATCCCTTAAATGAAAGGCGGTATCCAACAGTATATCATAGGACCATGATGTACTCCGGTGGCTCATTCATCAGTGGCAGCTCCTAATCGAAAGCCTGGTGGAAGAGCTCCGTTTTGCAGGCCCTGCGGAGCTGTAAAAGGTCCCGCAGGGCCCTGATGTTCTCTGGGAGCTCATTCCACCAGTGAGGGGCCGCCACGGAAAAGGCCCTGGCTCTAGTAATGGCCAACCTGGCATCTTTCAGGCTAGGGAGAGTCAGGCGTTGTTGCGACCCTGACCTCAGTGCTCTCTGGGCCCTCCCCGCCTGTCACTCACCCGGAAGACTTTGTCGAGGGAGAGCTTGCCCAGTTCAGAGCGCATGGTCGTCTGAGCCAGCTGGGTCACTGCGTACTCGGGGTCCTCTACGCCGTAGCTAGCCTGGATGGAGGGAAGGAGCAGAGTGGCCGGCCGGCCCCAAAGAACTCCCGCGGCCTCGGGGGGGGTGTGTGTATGCTCAGGACAGGGCCCAACTGCGCGAGCACTGCGTCCTCCCCCACCCAGGCACCTCCCAGCCCCAAGCAGCGACCCAGGCAGACTCTCCTGCCCCCTTGCAGTCCCCCCTCCCCACCCTTCTGTACAAAAACAAACAAGAGGCAACCCGAGTCACTGAGCTTGGCCAAACTCCCCATCGGAGGAGTTGCCGGCAGCTTCCGGCTTCACGAGGCCACGGCCTGCTCCTGCCTCCACCCACCCCCCTGGAGGCGGTACCTTGTAAGGGTCCATGATCCGCAAGTAGAGGACGCCGTCTATCTGGAGGGTCACGTTGTCTGCAAGGGGACACAGGAAGGTATTTCAGGAGGAGAAGGTGTGGTGGAGGGCTCCAGCGGCTGGGCTAGAACCGACCCAGCCAGCAGGGAAAGCCCTCGCCCGCATCGCTTGTTACCTTAAGTAACTGAGGGGAAGGTTTACAGTTTGAAAAAACCTGGTTCCGACGACAAGTCCCTTTTAAAAAAAATTTAACTTTGTATTCATTTTTTCTCTCATCATTTTTAAAGCGACACTTGGCACTCAAAAGAGTCACAGGCATGAACAAAGACAGTTTCAACACGCCAATCCACAAAAGTTAAGATAGTTACTACGAATGTTCCAAAATATACATACGTTAAAGAACATCTTTAGAGTATAGAACAGAACAAAAAAAACCAATTAGAAAAACAATAGGTTCCTATATAATGGATTTTTTTGAATAGTCTCACTATTTTCTAGGTAACGAATCATAGGAAACCATACCGCCCTTGACCCATCCAGGCCTCGCTCTCCTAGGAAAGGGAGCTGCCTCCTGATAGGAGTTTTCCCACTTACTGCGTGAGCTGGAAATAACCTGGTAATGAAGGAGTCTAGAAATAAGGAGGTAAGAGATCTCTACGAGGACCTGAAAGGCAAAAGAGCCTCCTTTGACTGCCCGACTGAGGCACACGCACACGCCAGAGGGGGGGGGAAATGACATTCCCAAAGGCTACGGCAAGCCCCAGCCACGCAAGGGGGCAGCCCTGGCCAGGGATCTCCCCCTGCACCCCTCGCCCTCCCTTCCCTTGCCCCTTCCTCAAAGCAGAAACGATTTTTCCCTAGTTACTCTGGCTGCCATTGGCTGACCTGCTCTGAGGTCACAGAGCCTTGCCAGAACTTGGCCTAGAGCAGTTTGGTCCTTGGGGGGGCTATGATTCTCCACAGCTGAAAGGGCCTTGCTAGATCTACACCAGAGAGTTCTGCTTAGGAAGGCCATGCTGGACAAATGGGGATCATGTCCTCTCTGGATCCCAAAGCTGACCTGATCTCCTGGCTAAAAGAAAAGGCTCCTCTGTCCAGGATCTCAAGGAAGGGGGGAGCCCGGCAGGTAATTCACTGCAGTGGCTTGACAGGGATCGGCTCACCAGAGGTGTCAGCTTAAGGGCTCTTGCCCTGGGGCTCTGCGGCTGGTGGTGACCCAGATATTGCAGACCGCAGGTGAGGAAAAGTTCTTTTGTGGAGGGGGGGGGGGGGGGA